CTATTCTATTCTATTCTATTCTATTCTATTCTATTCTATTCTATTCTATTCCTTATTCTATTCTCCTATTTCTATTCCATTCCATTCCAATTCATTCCATTCCATATTTTCTATTCTATTCTATTCTATTCTATTCTATTCTATTCTATTCTATTCTATTCCTTATTCTATTCCTTATTCTATTCTCCTATTCCTATTTCCATTCCATTCCATATTCATTCCATTCCATTCCATTCCATATTCATTCCATTCCATATATCCTATGCTGTTCTGTTCTGTTCTGTTCCATCCCATCCCAGGCAGTCCATGTAGCCATCTTGGTACCCAAATACATAAACTGCTCTTCAGTTCCCCACCCCAAAATTACGGGCCAAAGCAACCTCTGTGCCACTGATCTCCAGAGAGAGCTCCAGCCTTACCGCCTCCCCAGCTCGCGCCAACCTACCTGTATCTCCTCTTCGTACATTTTCATACTTAAATCACTTTTGGTCCTCGATCGGCGGCCCAGGAACAGCATGGCGGCTTGCTAGACCCGTGGGAGATATAAAACGGTGAGAAGGACATTTCGCCTCAGCTAGATAGGAGGGTGTTTTATTTTCGATCCTGAGTCCCCACAGTCTCATCCACTCACCCGGTGCCGGTCCATCTGGGAAACGACCTTGAGGAGTTGACTAGCTGCCAAGTTGTCACCTTGCCTCCCGTAGGTCTCGGCGAGGCCCCTGATTTCTTCCTTCGAGACCTCCCGCTCAAAGACGATCCCGCTGTCTTCTGCTGGAGGGGGGAAAAAAACAACAACAACCAGGAACCTTGGAGTAACAGGAAGAGAAAGAGCTACCAAAAACGTCCAGATCTGGTGTTTTGCTAGTCAGCCTTCCCTGGAACGCCTACGGACATCATCTCCATCATCCAGGGCAGGGGTCCCCAACCACCGGTCCGCGGACTGGTACCGGTCCGTGGAACAAATCCTACCGGGCCGCTGGTTTGCTGGGCGCCGCCATCTTGTTTTGATGAAAAAGTGCTTCCGGTGAGCTTTTCCGGGTAGAAAGCTCACCGGAAGCACTTTTTCATCAAAACAAGATGGCGGCGCCCAGCTGATGCCGGTACCGGGCCGCAGCATAAAAAAGGTTGGGGACCACTGATTCAGGGGATAGTTGTCCCAAAGGTGGGTTTTAGATGAGACAGAATGTTACAAGATACGGAATAAATTTTTATCAAATGTTGGGAACAGAAACGGGGGACTCAAATAATAATAATAATAAAAAAATGAGTATGATTAGTAGAATGGATAAATGAGGCTAGGTAAGTAAGTACAATGGATAATGACGGATAAGATAATGGATATAAGTTAACTGTACAAATGTATGCACGTATATAAGACATGCATCATATATTATAGTATGTAGGTCACCGTGTGCAATGTTTTAATAATTTAATCAATAATTTTTTTAAAAAAAAAAAAAACATCAGGACTAGATTCAGCAGTCCATCTGCATTTCAAAGACAAAGGCCTTTTGAAGGCAGGCAAGTCCACATTTTGGACAGAGATTCTCCCTGGTTTGAAAGAGGGGTCAAAAGAGGCCATTTAGGTAAAAAATGAACAGCCCTCTCTTAATAGAAAGGATATGACCTCATCTGTCTCCAGTCTACAACACAACAGTACTGAGAAGGCTGAGGACACAGATAAAACCTCCAAGTGGCCTCAACAACCCTCTAAAATAAGGCTCTTCAAACTTGGCAAGTTTAAGACTTGTGGGCTTCAACTCCCAGAATTCCTGAGCTAACATGACTGGAGGAGGAGGGATTCTGGGAGTTGTAGTCCACAAGTCTTAAAGCTGTTAAGTTTGAAGACCCCTGCTCTAAAAAGGATGCAAATGACCAGCTGTCTGCAAGGAGTACATATCCTTCCCTTCCCCACCATCCAGTCAAGAGCTGAAGAAGCTGCTTGGATGAGAAGCGAAAGATCTTCAAAGAAAAAACAGAAAGTCCAGTTGCTTCTTGAAAAAGCACTTTTGGGGCAACTGAGGACATAGATAAACCTCCAAGTGGCCTCAACGACTCTCTAAAAAGGATGCAAATGACCAGCTGTCTTGCAAAGAGTATAAACCCTTCCATTCTCCACCATCCAGTCAGAGCTGAAGAAGCTGCTTGGGTGAGAAGCGAAATGTCTTCAAAGAAAAACAAAGGATGTCCAGTTGCTTCTTGAAAAAAAAGCACCTTTGGGACACTCCCTGGAATTCTTTCCCAACAGCTTCTTTTGTTTTTCTAGAGTAAAATCGTTCCAGGTGTTCCCTAGATCCTCGACTCTAATCTTAAGCCTACCAGGGAGGAAGACGGATAGGAAGGATGATGATATGATACAGCAGAGAGCAAAATATCTCCCACTCACCTTCTGAATCCTGATTCTTGCGGGCATAATTCATGCGGAACACAAACGCTTCCAGTATAAAAGCAACTATAATTGTCATCACCACCTGGGGGGGGGGGGGAAATAAAAGTATTTTATAGGATGTACAGGAATCTTCCTTAATTATCTTTTTTTTCCCCTATCTGTATTGCTCTTTGCACTTTCCCTTATCTTTTTTCTTAACTTTTCTTTACATATTCTCACATTTTTTTTCTTTTACTTCCATAAAAGTTTCCAATTAAAACATATAAAACAAACAAACGACACACACACAAAAAAGGATATGATTGCAACCATCATCTAAATGTGGATCTCATGACGTAAGGATCTTGTTCGATTTACTCACCATGGTCACGATGTAGAAAATCATGAAATAAAGACGACTCCAGTGAGACGTTTCTGAGGTCACCCCTTCCTTAAAAAAACAGGAAAATGAAATCTCTTAAATGGTTGGTGGTGGATGGAAACCATAAAGGCAATCTCCCAATACTCTAGCATCTAAAATATCATCCATCCATCCATCGATCTAATGCATTTATATATCTATCTGTATCATCCACCCATCTATCTATCCATCCATCCACCCACCTATCTATATCTTTCTCTGTCTCTCTCATCTATACCTATCTATATCTATCTATCCTACCTCTTATCTATTCATCTCTTTCAATTTTCTTTCTATCTGTCTGTCTGTCTGTATCTTTCAAATCTCTCTCCAATTATCTGTCTATCTGTCTGTCTATCTATCTATCTATCTATCTATCTATCTATCTATCTATCTATCATCTATCTATCTATCTATCATCTATCTATCTATCTATCTATCTATCTATCTATCTATCTATCTATC